ATTTTTTGAAGTAAGTTTTTCTTTTCTAAATGTAAAAGATAACATAAGGTGATACTGGAGCTTTACTCTATTTTACTTAAGCTCATTTCATTTCACCTCTTCTCAGATGAGAGGCCATTGGATGTACTTTTTCTCTAAATTGGCTTCTTTTAATGCTTCAGTATTTTCTCAGTATATACACTTTTCTCAGTGTATATACACAATTATTCTTCATTTGCATTTTGATGATTAAAATGTTACTTTTGTATTACTTGAAACTTATTTTTTCTTGAAATTTGTAGATTTTCCCCCTGAATTATAGTTTAACGAATCCTCTTTCTTAATAGGTCCTTTTAAGGTTCTGACCTTGTGATTTTAACACTGATACTATTACTACATGAGGAATGAGATTTACTCAAGAATCTGACTTGTTTAGTAAAATGCTATTGTTCGAACTTTCAAACTTGAGGAAACTACAAGGAGCAAATCTCTTCAAAATAGTTTTTATTCAACAAGTGTAACAAGGGTAGTATTCAAAGGATATTAGCAAGTCCCATTCTGGTAAACAAGGCATTCTCAAGCATTGGTAAAAATAGCTTGTTTTGTAAATTTGATTACACTGGGTTTATGCTGCCCTCATTAGATTTACTAACATTAAAGTTCTGTACATGAAAGACACATATAGGAATTAATTCTATTTCTGTAACACTTAAATTACAGATTTGAAATGGTGTTCATTGAAATTTTCTTTTCCTTTGTGACTGAACTCTCAAGAAAAGTATTGAAAATTTCTTGAACCCTACATTTTCAAATATAAAGGCCTATAAAAACAACAACAAAAAAGTCTGGTTATCAGTTTAAAAGCTATACTCATTACTACAGATATTGATAATTAGTCTGAATTACCTTTGTCCACTTAAAGGTGGCACAGTTAGACAGCCAATGTTAATTCACTTTTACAAAGATGGGCTTTTTTTTTTTTTATTACAGATGAAAATATGACTTTCACAAACTTACATGATCAAATGTCCATCATTTCTTTGAAATGTCAATCTTGTGTCTACTATCTAACCACAAAATGGAGAAATTGGCAAGAAAAAAACCTTCAATGCTGTTTTCTTCCTTTAGCATTTTCAGCCATAGCCTAAATTGTATCACCATCAGTAATTGTACTTTAACCAAGGGCAACTGGAACCTGGGAGATGAGTCTGTCTAAGAAATTGTCCTTTGTTACTCCTCATAGAACCTTCACGGCTATGTTGGACCTTCACCATAAAACATGGTGCCATAGAAAAAATTCAGTATTAGATAGGTTTGCCTTGGACTACGTCCAAGGACTGTCATTTTGATGCTATTTTGCTAAGAGCAAGGTCCAATCCATGAACTCTCAGGAGAGTGTACAGCTAGGTCACATTGTAGAAGAAAGTTCACCCGTTCCTCATCTACCATTTTAAGGTCAAATTTTGCAACCTCACTCAGTAATCTTATCATGCCTTTGCGTTCAGAAAGTACTTCATTATCCTGCTTCACTTCATGTCAAACCAAGAGTCAGCTGAAAACTGAAAATTAATGCTCTCCAAAAATTTACTCTCTTGCCCTCTCACTAGTAACCAACTGTAAGTAATTCCTATTGTTCACAACACACTTTGGTCAAGGATATAAGTGATATTTACAAACCCCTCTGAATTCTAAGAAATAATAACAGTCTAGCCTCAACATTTATAGATGGTTAGTCCATCCTGAAATTCTATAGCTTAAAAATTCACTATACGTATATATTTTTAAGAGGCAGTCATTTCTTGGTCAGTTCAGCTCTCTTGATTAACCTCACTTCAGTTTTAGCCCAGAGACAATACTTGGTTTTACACTGTAGGTTTGAAACTCCTTAGATGGAAAATTCACCCATCTACATACTGCTTAATTAGGAATGAATTTTAAGTATTCTGAGCCTACATACAACAATTTGGCTTTTAGAGACTAAAATGAGCAGGAGAGTAGTAATTAGAGAACAGGTGGCAGATTGGCCTCACCAACTCACAGCTTTGAGAAATTGTAACTAACTGCTATTGTATCGTTCTACTGCAAACCATTCCCTTGCTAACTTTTTACTGCTCGCAAAATGTTTTTAATTGGACTATGAACATCAAAGCAAGGAGAGAGATATTACCTGGTAGCCAAACAAATACTGCTGTTAAATAGTAATAATAAATAATATGCACAGCATAAAAAAATAAATGATGCTAATTAAATATACCAATTTTATTAAAAAAGAAATTAATATTTATCTGCTACTGTGGGGAATGGCCTTGAGTCTTCCCTTCAAACATCTGATGCCAGGCTAAGTATAGTGCCAGAGAGTGAGAAAAAGTTGGGAAGTCCATTTATAGCTAGAGTTTGTAGAAGCTAAGAGAAGTAGACAATAGTTGGGGGAAAGAGTCTATCACCAACATACCAAAAATAAAATTTCTTCCTTTACCATCATTGGTAAGCAGACACTGGCATTGCTTTGGAAATACACAGCATTTATCTGAACCTTTTAATCACTGGCAATTGTGAGATACGTAAACCTTTCCTTAAGCTTTTGACAAAGAATAGTTGACAATTGAAAGAGAGGCAGTGGCTCTCAAAGCAAAAAAAAAAAAAGTACAATCTGTGTATTTTTAATATATAAATCTGCAGGATATAATTACTTAGGAAGAAAGAAAATCATGTGAGCCATTTTATTTATTTAAAATGTTTTTTGAGTTCATGTTATTATTAACTTTGTAAACTCCTCTTACTCTGGTGTATTCCTCATAGAGGAAACTACCCAACCTCCCTTCCCCCTGTAAAGATTTGCCTTCTGATTTGCCCTCACATCTGCGCTTACCGGAGGAACAGATGCTCAGCTTTTAAGGGTCAGAGTTTGGCCCTTTCGCACCTATCACTGAAGCAGAAAGGAATGGGGTTCTGAAGCAATGGTGGCAGCTTTCCAATGGCTGACTGGTACTTTTTACATTTAAAGTAAGCAGGTGGCATCAATGGGCTGTCTAATGACTAACAAGATAAGAGTACAATTGATCTTTATATTAACCCGTTTCCCCAGGTGGGTGGCAGCCTGCTCCTCCCTCCTGGGTTCAGTTACATTGCTCAGTTCCAGGAATCATTTCAGGCCTTTTTGCTTTTTTTGTCTGAGCTGATACATAAAGCACAGGGGCACAAACACTGATATCCCTTCTCCCTTAAATTCTATCTTCTCCTCATCTCCAGATTGGTAAATGCCTTCATAATTTGAACCTGATACAGAACAATATTTAATGCACCTGCTAATGTATCTTCAATCCTGTTGATATTCTGTTCATACTGGATTTGAATCGTGGGTTTGTCTTCCTTCTAGGTCACAGAGCACTTACTCTAAACCTCACAACTAGCTCTGAAGAGCATGGAACCTACATAGATGCATAAGGTAAAAGATTAATTTCAAAACAAGACATACGTAAGGTATGAATTCAAGCATTGTATAAATGTGTTGTTTTTGATCTATTGGTGATTTTCTAAGTTATAGTATTGGGTAATCTTTAAATGGAGGGTAGAATAATGATACTGGTTAGGGCTGGGGAGAGAAGAAACTAAGTATGTGGATTTCCTCTCCTTATGAACCAGGTTATTTGTTGCAAATTTCTTAAGGCTGGCTACAATTTAGCTTCTTAAAACAATGTGTTCTCGTGATTTTAAGAAGGTCTTGCCCTGGAGTATGCCTGGACATCACAGGTCTCATAGTGAAGTGGAGATCAATTAGAGCCGTCATTTCCATAAATGAAGGTCAGAATTATTAGGATGCACTCCTTTGTAGAAGTAGGATAAGGTACAAAACGGCCCACTGAGGCTACTTCTACCACAGGTGGTGTTAGATGAGGAAATGTAGGGCAAAGAGATTTACAGAGGACACCTCATATTTCTGTTTCTCTGAATCATGGCCATCGTTTGCTTTCCTGGTTGTTATTAAAGTAATTGTATTTTCCTAGGAGCTATCAATTCTATATTAAGGATTGTCTTGGATCCACCTATCGCGAAATGATTAAAAACCAAGGCTTCGGAGCCAAACTATCAATTTCAAATTGCGGTTCTGCCATTTACTAGCTATATAACCTTGGACTTCAGTTTTCTCATCTGCAAAGTGGGAAAAATAAAGGTACCCACTTCTAAGAGCCGGGGTAGTATAAACAAATTAGTAGATGAAAAGCACTTAAACTATTGCCCAGTAGTAATAAGTACTACATTTACTGATTAACTAAAGTGCTATTATTCTACCTTCTCATTTTGTTTCACTTTCTCAATTCTCTTTTAGTCCACAAACTTGGTGATTGTGGGAATGATTAAGAGAACCAAATTCCCAATTCCCATTTAGCAGCCTCTTTCCTAAAAGAGATATATTATACCTTTCTTGTAAATGCCAAGAAGGAAAATAATTGGCATCCCATTGCCCTTTGAATGGGGCCCTACTAGCCCTAGGTGGTGTGACGTGTAAAGTGACCTGAGAGCGGGGTGCCTGCCAGCTCAGGGCACAGTGTAGTCAGAGAATCAATTAGAAGGCCCATGGGCATTTCAGAAACTTGCAAACATCAATTGGCATAGAGTTTCAGGAAGCAGAATAAAAAGGAACCTACAAAACAAAAAGCCTTTTATGGGGACGGAGTCACCGTTCCTCCAAATCACAAGTGGATGATTATGATCACCATTAGAGCTTAATGAGCCTATATATGGCTAATGACTTCATCTCTCCAACAGATTTGCCAATGGCCCATGTTTCTACTAACATTCATCCTTCTCTTCTAAGCAGCATAACCATGGTGCTAATTAGTCAGAAGAGAATAAGTCATTCAATTCCCCTCTCCTCCATCAGCAAAAGCATATTTCTCAATTCCACCATCTCCTTGTTATTTTTTCAAGACTGGAGGTAACAGATCAGAGAAAAGAAAACATCAGAGCTTGGTGATCACTACCCTATATCAAAAGATAATTTTAAAGATAAAGATGTGTGTGTGTTCACTTCAGCAGCACTTATACTAAAATTGGAACGATACCGAGAAGATTAGCATGGCCCCTGCACAAAGATGACACACAAATTCGTGAAGCATTCCATATTTTTAAAGAAAAAAAAGATAAACACGTGTGAATTGATCTCAGCACAATACAAATAGAGATACCACATATTTTACTTGATTTAGGTACTTGCTACAAATGCTATCATTTATTATGGCTGTATTTTTATTTTAATAACCCAAGTACAGAAAATGGTATTTATAAGATGTGAACAAAGTTATATGTTGAGCTATATAAAAACTATTCATTAGGATAAGGAGTCAGACTTAAACTGAAGTTAGAACTTTTTTTAATTAACCATACTATCACAATATTTAGTCAGCAGTGATGTTTAGTGTTAAAATAATTTGAAGGGCCAAAATTTAGCAAGGCAGAAATATTGATGATATCTTTGGAAGACAGAGCAGATATTAATAGCAGATTATTTACTGGAAGAGAAAAATTTTTTTGTAAAAATTACAGATACCATTTCCATCATGATTCTTACTCAAATTTTGGTGTGAATATTTCTTTTGTTTTCCTCTTTTCAAAATATAACCAAGTAAATATATTAGAAGTTAAAGTTGTATCATTTTGAAAGCAAGGCAAGCAATAGCTAAAGTGGAAGGGATAATGTTAGATACTAAGACAATGCTTTAGTGTAATACTTCAGAAATTTTAAATTGTTTTATGTTAAAATATTCCAGCATAATTTTTCTGGGGTCTTTGTGCTATATATAAACTTTGATTACTATGGTAATGTAAGAAATATGAATGGATAATGTCTATTCCTGTAACCAGCATTTCAGGAAAGTGTCATGGTTAAAAATACACAGCTGGAATAGCATTTTTGGGTTCTAGCCACAAATCTGCATTGAACTTGTTGAGTGATCTTGAGTAATTAGTATCTATCAGACTAAAGTTTTCAATATATTAAAATTTGATGAATTTATTGTATCAATTTAAAGAAATGGATAAAGGAGCCTCAAAAATAAAGCCTGGTCTTTAGAAATAAAAAAAAAAAAAAACAACTTTCAAGCAACAAAAATGTTAAACAGATTGTAACATACACCAAATCCACATTCTGCTGCCAACCTTTCTTTGTACCTGTCCTCCTACTCCTCTTGCCCCATTGATCCCATCATTTCAAGAATGAATGGATTAGTTTAAAATCGATTCTCATCGCATTCACTGAAAAATTTAAAATCACTAGGAAGTCTGAGCTAAATTTACGTTTTAGCCCCCCCGCCATGTTTGAGGATTTTTTTAAAGCCATTTAAATTTATAAGGGGTGTTAATGTGTCCAAAACTGTTTCACACGAAGACATATAAAGAGATTGTAAAGTGTGGCCCTTTCCCTCTGGAATTTATTTGTAGAGGAAAAAAGTCACCATATACAAAATAAATATTAACGTCAGAAAAAAATATGTATGTGCTCAACTCAGTATTAAAAAATGAATTTTAGTCCAGTATAGCTAGATGGTACCTGGCTACCACCACTGACTGCTTTGACCAGGATCACAACAGATGGTTCTGGACAGAGCTGGAGAAGGATGTAGAACAAAATTCTAACTCACAAAAAAAAGACCACATTTACTGGCCTAAAGGAGACTGGAGAAACCCTGAGAGTGTGGTCCCCAGATACCCTTTTAGCTCAGTGGTGAAGTCACTTCCGAGGTTCACCATTCAGCCCGGGAGTGGACAGCCGCATAAAACTAAATGGGACTAATGAGACACAGCAGTCAGGGACAAGGGTCAGAAGCCAGAAGGGGACAGGAAAGCTGGTGATAGGGAACC